TTCAGAACGAATCGAAAGTGTAGTAAATTCTGTGTGAAACTGCCATGTGGAGGCTCATATTTATACAAAAAAAGAAGTAGCACAAAAATATCAGCTTGTTATTGAAACTTTTCATCTCTTTTCGATATGAAAGCTCAACAAGCTGCCATAATACAAACAAAATAATTTCAAAAATAACTCCGATACCCGACGCACTATATTACAACCAATTTCCTGGATATTTTTAAGAGTTGTGCTGAAGTTACGGCGGCGGAAGAGAAAGGGCGGCGGGTTCTATTTTCACCGACACTAAAATAAACGTAAATTTATCAAGCATCTTTAATATCAACATTATTTTAAGTAGAAAGTGCCTGCCTCTGATGATATTTTTAATTGGCCACGCTTGAGAACTTTATTTATGCATTTTCGTTGATTTAAAGGAAACTTTGAGTCAGATTTTTCATAAATGTAGGCTTTTTCTTAGTTACACTGGAAATCATCTGTAGATTCCTGTACAGATTTCTTCAACTTGTTCTTGTGAAAAAAACAACGCTACTTAATTTTGGACAACCCATAGGTACGTACATGAAAACTGCGTAAATGTTGCACAGTAATTTATTAAAACAATGTAATTATGTTAAGCAACGTAATTGTAGCTGATACGTTTGATTTATCGACCTAGATCTACTCATAACCTCTAGAACCTGGAGGAGTTGCCGGTATAAGTACGTTTTTCTTCCGACAACAGAAATGTTGAATTGTTGTAAACATAACGTGTTTTCTAACGACAGATGTATTAACATTTCATTAATTACACCTATATTGATTATTAATCAGAACGCCAGGATAGTTGGACTTTGCTCACATCTCCCGATAGCGCCATTGGGTAAGAGAGAGGGGGGCGGTGGAATCGTTCCACAAATGCAATTACATAGAAATTTTTATGCATTTGAACATATTTTACAATGCAAGAATACATTACTTGATGCTGTCACTCCCTGCTCATTCACTGTAATTATTATAATTAATTGTGGTAATTATCAAATCATATATATAATATAATATACAGGGTATTGTAGTATTCCAGGATTTTGAAGTAGATCAGCAAATATTTCTTGTTTGAGAAACAGAGCGACAAAGGTTTATGTTTCTAGATATAGACATTTGCTTTAAACTCCTTTGAGATAAACTAATGCAAAAAATTAAAGGATCCAAAGAATTTCCGAATTTTTTCCGTAATTTTTGACAGACTGTATTTAGGTAAAAAATGGTCGTATCGGGAATTAAAAAAAGCATTTTAAAGCTCTAAGTTCACGGGCTTGGAAATTTTTTTTTCAGCTAAGCCATTGCAAGGACCAGATAGCTTGTTTATTCAGGTTTAATTTCCTTTTTTTTTTAATTTTGATACGACCATTTTTCATCGGAATATCCGACTTTTAATGGAAAAGTATCCTTTTGTTTTCAATCATCGATATCTCGGCGACAAATGGTCGTACAGAGAATTGAAGGGCAGTTTCGAAAACTGGAATAAATTTCCTATATCATGCTGTTACAACTATTCGGAAAAATTTTTTTTTCATCTTTTACAAGAATTTAAAAAAACAGGAAAAAAGGTAATTCATGTTTTTTTAGAAAATTGACAGCTAAATTAGAAATATTCACGAAATGATTAATGTTAAGCATGACTTTTACAGTTCGATATACCCAGAAGAACCCTGTGAAATTTCATCTCGATCTAGTGAACCATTTCTTTGTTTGAAACAGTCAAACTTTTTAAAAAAATTAAAGCATCACGTTTTTTTGAGCTTAAACACTTCATAATCGTGATTAAAATGGAAATAATTTTTTTTTGAGGTTTACTTCCATTTTTACCGCAAATAAAATTTAAATTGATTAAAAAAAAACTTTTTTGAACTTTTCATTCAGAGAAGAAAATGGGTAATTTTGAAAAAAGAACTGTTTTTTAAGTGTTTACAGACTGCACAAAAATTAATTAGAAATTTGTTTCAAAAAACGGTATAAATTTTGGTCGAAACCTGGTTTGGGTATTGAACTTTAATATAAATTTAATTAAAAAATTTAAAAAAAAAATTCACACGGAAACTCACGGAAAGATTTCGGAAATTCTTTTGACCCTATAATTTTTTGCATTAGTTAGTCCGTTCAGTATCATAATAATTATTTCAAGTCTTGTGACCCGCCAGAAAATGGACCAATGGTAAGCATTCTTATAAACTCTTTCTTATTTTTGACTAGAAATATCGCACACAGAGAAAAACTATAGATACTATATTGTCTGAAGCTACTATTTTTTGTGGCATAGTTTTTATTTCTTTAAATTTTATTTATTTGGTATTTTGCCACCTGCGGACAAAATTTTCAAAACAAATGAATAAGAATCACTCAAGGGTTAATTTTATTAAAATAGTTTTGACTAATAAAAATCCCACACTGGAAAAAGCAGACGAATATAAAACAGAGGCGTTTTCTACTTTTTGAGCACTTATTTTTCCTTCGTCTTACCTTAATTTTCTACATTAATTATTCAAATTATTAATTATTCGTGGATAAGTGTCACAAAAATTGAAGCAACGAAACTGCAACTTCAGTCGTTTAGTAAATATGTAAATTTTAAGTAGGTATCTAGTCTTATAAATAAAAGTATATATGGATGAAAGATACAGTTTAAGTTGCTAGCATCGATTTTGAAACACTCCCCAGCTTAAAAATAAATATGTACCAAATTAACTAACTATAACAGTTTCTTTATTTTTCTATACCATTGAAATCACAAATCAGAGCCGTATTATAAATCATATTAAAATTTAACCTTCGATATATTCGATAGCCTATAGTAGCAAAGGATTCGTTTACGGAGAAAAACCTGAATTGCTTGGTAATAAACATTTTACTTGCAATAATCGTAAGACGTATCGACATGGTTAGGTAATATATTTATGCACCGATGACTTGTTAAATGCAAATCCGTATTTTTTTAATAGAAATCCATATTTTGATATCAAATTAACATATTTGAGATGCTGATGCATTTAATGTAAAAAATATGTTGTGCGGTTCCTTATAAAGTTTTTGAAATAGAATTTTTTAGGTTTAGTTCAAGTCAAAAGCGGATATTCTTAATATACAGTTCAATAAATTGATTCAAAAACTACCACTAGCAGGAAGTGCAACAACTGGAAAATTAATAGTTAGTTTGGATTCATTTGGACAGGTCAACTTTTTTTTAATTTACTGACTTCAGTTTGGAATGAAATAATAAAGCAGGAACAATAATGTATTTGAAAAACTATCCGTCTGCGACTAATGCTTATACAACGGTATATTTATAGAAAACTTTCATTGTAAATGTAGTAGGTACATTCAGTATTCCATCCAGTTCGCCCGATTCACAATGGAACATTTTAATGAAGAGACAAATGCAGATAAATTAATGTAATATATAAAGTTGGCTCACGGACCAAGCTTAATGACTAGGGTTTTCATTTGTTTTGGCACGATAGGTTTATAACTAGCGAAGATATATTAAATCTTTGTGCTCATCCAAGCGATATTTAAACACCTCTCATAATAGGCTTGATATTATTTATGGAAAACAAAACAACAAAGTATGTAGGGGCACTTACAGTTTAGATTTAGAAGATACATATCGGAAATAGGTAAGTGCATAATTTATTTCAAATAGCTTTAAACGTGGTAAATTCAAGTTGCATTCGTTAAAAAAAAAGTGAATATATTTTCTGATGACAGTTGCAGTTATTTTCAGATAAATATTTTTGGAACACGAGTAAATATATATTTTAAAGTGCAGTTCTTTCTTCAGCACAGGAAACTTTGGTAAAGTAATATTTTTTTTTTTTCAAATACTGCATTTTTATGGATATATATGCTGTCGATATCATAAAATTACCTAATTATTCATTTTCCACAGGGAAAAATTAATAACGTCTTGTACTTAAAAAAAAAACACGAATCATCCTCACAAAGTAATACAGAATAATCAGTGCATTATTCAGGAAACAAAAATATATATTCACAACTCGACTTATATGTGTTGCATAATAAAATACCACACAAGAACACTGTTTTCTAAATTACTACCAACAAAACACTTCTTAAATACAGAAACATTGGAGAATTCTCTAAAATAAATCCTAACATTTTTTTAGCTAAAGAATTTATATTTTCGATATGAGCAAAAAAGAAATTGTCTGATCGCAGCAACATTATCAATATTATATCGAAACAGTTAAATTATTATTAGATATAATAGAACATTTATAAGGAATTTAATTTTGACTTACATCAAGTACATACAACATTAAAATATTTTTATAACAAACAGTCATCAATGTTAAGAATATTACAATAAATTTTTAGATCATCTGCATGTAATAACTTGAAACATACCAAATGCAGAATGTCATTTATGTGTACCTAAATTCAACCCTTGGGGTAGGTATCCCAGAAGTAGAAGTTATAACAAAAGAACGATCTATTCATCTCACTTTTCATTCAAATAAGTGCAGACTTATACAAAATTTTTAATCATTCTGATTCTCACTAGCTGTACTACTAATAAAACACCTAACTTAGTTAATTGTTAGATTTTTATCTTTTAAAAAATAAACTGAACAGGAGCAAAAGTTTTATTTGGAAGATTGTGTTTTATATATTGTATCCAACATTTACACGAACGCGAGCGATGTACTTAAAACGCTGTAACTCACTTTACGGAGTGAGTGTATGCTGTGTTGCCTATAGGACAAATTGAAGACGTGCTTAATTCCAAAAATAATTTGTTATATTCACTATTTTATACACAAAATATCTAATAAAGACCAATTTTTAGTCAGACCAACCGTTATAACAATTTTAAATCAAAGAATATTTATGTAAATACTGAACAGATCCCATTCTGTAGTTGCAAAAAGTACAATTCTGGAATATTAACAAAATAATTCTAAAAAAGTAGTTCATATACCTAGTTCATCAAAACTCTGTTTCAATATGTATACTTTAATCATATAACAAGATGTATAGGTACAAAGATTATTATCTACAACTGGTTCCTATTTTTAAACCCTGCTTTCTACAAATTTTATGTGTTTTCGTAACCATAATAAAACCCTTCCTCGTAAGCCTTATACATATCATTGGAATTCCTCCTTAATCGTCTACCAATGGGTTCCAAGTCTGGGTAACATTTGGGAAACACCCTCTCTATCGCGTCTATCGCTTCCAACTTTGAGATATTCCTAGCTGCCACCACAGAACTTAAGGCTTTACTCTTAACGCAATCCTTATGAGCTTCCTTTATGTTCAGCGGCGATGCATCTCCGTTCATCCAAGCCGATAGAAAACTACAGTGAGCTAAGTTCGCAGCACGGATCTCGGTACATGCCAAATGGTCGATGTTTTTGAAGTCTAGATCGTTTCGACAGTAATCGAACATGTGGATCATTTCGTGTGTTAATACCCCTTGTATGATACCCTCTTTTCTCGCCACGTTTTGGCAGATTATTACCTAAAACCAAAGAAACGTATCAGTAAATTGCCTACGTGATTTATTATTTGATACTTACTTGGTTGAGAATAGGATCGTACCCTCCACTTACATGAGGAGCACATTCTTCGCATGAAATGTGTCTACGGATATCGACGGCACAGCCTGAGGCTTTCAACGCTCCCATCATAAGCTTCACGAGAGGACTTTCTTTGATGCATTTGTATACGTTTCTTTCGCACTTTATTTTTTCTATATTTTCCTTGCCTTTGCCTTTCAAATAATCCGTAATTGACGCATTTTTTGATGATTGTCTTCGCTCTGGGTATAAATCGTAGCCCCACTGACTACCTTCATTTTCTATAGGTGATTTATTTTGATCTGTACTATTTGCCGATGTTTTATCGCCAGCATTATTATTTCCTTCTGTATAGTCTATAAGAGTCATTATTATGAACAAAAACAAGGTTACATGTTACATTCTTCTCAAATTTAAGGTTATGTTATTTCGTCTGTTTTCTTCTTCTTCTTCTTGTACTGACACAATTCCTTATTATCGCTCTGACACTGTGAGTCGGTAGTTAGAACAACTATTAAACAAATTTAAAGTAAACGGAATCGAATCAATTAGTAAATAGAATTTAAAAGATACAAATAAAAGACGTTAAAATCGTTATTAATACTATGGGAATAACTAATTACGAGATATTAATGTGTGTATATGTACAAATGTACAAATGTAATATAATGTAAAATATTGTGAATAGTTAAGATTAATACCTATTATTATATTATGTATATTACCTATTGCATTTATAAAATAAGTACCTATATGCGTATTTTCTTTTGTAACACAAAGTCAGTAAGTAAGTATGCTGCCTCAATGTCTACCAGAGCAAATTCTTACTTTAAAATAGTAATCATAATATACATAAGATCGAGATTATGGATTAATTGAAACAAAGAGTGGTTTATTAAACATTTTATTATTTTTTATTTGAATGTGTCAAATACAATGATACATGATTAAGTTCCACGTCCACATTGATTATACTTAGTTAAGTAAAAAATATCGATAAAATTTAAAACGAGAATTACAAATCATACAAAGTAAAACCTGTTATTACACACATTAATAATATTAATGATTAATCCTATACAGTCTACAACAAACATCTATACATTTTGGATCGACGAAAATCCCACCTAGCTCCTTTCGGTTACCCTTTTATTAGCCCTCGGTGGAATTTTCATGAATTACTTTAATGAGGGGTGGTCAGGTTGGGGATGAAAAGGGTCTACTACAATGCAAATGGCAGTGGGCCTTCGGCCTTACAGGGGATGTTTAAATTCTCCTGCAAACAAAGGTTAGAAACTTCAGCAAATTGTTAGACATTACGGCTGTTTATCGTCCCTTTAACGATCGCTTGGTTATAATTTTATAACACGACAATTCCTGGCCTGGCTTTTAATTCCGCGTTAACCTTTGTTAGCGGCGACTTTAGTGTGAAATGTAGAAAATGGAGGTCATGAGTTCATATATAATTGATGAAGAACTATTTAGATGGAATAATATTCAAAACGATTGTAGCCTAAAATTGGTTTCTTCTCTACTGCCTGTTGCGACGGGGAGCTGAAACAAAAATAGTTAATTAAAAAAAAAGAAAAAATGTTATTTGATTTTTTTTTAATTATATAAGACTTTCTTTAATCACACCAGTGTCGATACTCTTTATGTGATATCAATTATTTTTTTCATAACAAAGGGTGAATATTTTAATTTTCGTGCTATATTTTGCAGAAAATTTCACAATAGTATTTTTCAGCCAATTAAAGGCCTGTATTTTGTAGCGTTACTATAGCAACTAAGAAAATTTCCGGAAATTTTTCTCTTCCTTGGGGTAAGGAGCATGAAATTACACTGGAAATTTTTTGACATTTATAAATAAAATGACATTTATATTTAACTTCAAATTTATTCTATCATAATTTAATAAGTACAAATCATTTATAAATAATTATTTACCAAGTATGTACTTTTAGTAGTTTTAATTAAAGCGTCCAAATGTTGCTGAAATTCCTCAGCCACGTCTTCTTTTCTTAATGGGGAATAAACAAGCACACATTCACTAAAATTTATAAAATGTCTATGTTTCAAAAAATAAATGTAGTACTTTGAAACAATCTTATTCTGCTGTGATCCACGAAGAGCTCCATATTTCTTACACACAAGAAGCAAATGATTTTTAATAATCCCAAACAAGTTTGGCGAATAAATTTCTGGCCCGCATTCTTGTAATAAATACATTAAAAATTTTAGGTTCCGATGATACATTTTAATTTCACTAACTTTTTTGCAAAACTTGCATAAAACGTATTTCTCAAACCGCTCCATTTTTCAATTGTACAACACAACGATTTTAAAGAAAATGGTCAAATAACGTCAAAAGTCACGATTACCTTGTTTGACATGGATTCCATGGCCTTCTTAATAATATATACATATGAATTTTATTGATATTACATAGTGCTTAAGGTTCTTTGTAAGAAAATATATTTCTACCAACTTTAGTAAAATGAGTATGTGGAAAACTGAGGGATTGATCTACTATCGACTTATTTTTTATTATTTTGCTTAACTAAAGTCGGTTAGTTGTATTTTATTTAACCTAATGTTATATGTATGTAAGTTACTTTGATTATATTGTGAAATTTTCTTACCGAATACCACTCTAGCTTCAATTAAAAACTGGAAATTTTTCCTTGCACACAAATATTTTTTAGAAAATTCGTGTGCTCGAAAAAATTTCCAGTAATAATTGAAGCTCTAGTGGTATTATAAGTGAAAATTTACAACCAAATTAAGAAAAATTATCATTCACAATGAAAAATATAACTAATAATTAGAAATTATTGAGATAAGTATTAAGATCAACGTTGGTACTTTCAAAGGGATTTCTATTTCCCGATTAAGTATAAAAAAGTAGTAATAAAAATTAAATGTTAAAAACGCATCTGGATATATCGATTCATTTAATTTCATTATTTTTTTGTGACGACTTAAAATTTACGTATGTTTGTTAAATTTTAGAGGTTTTCAGTTAAAAACATTTTAGTAAATATCATAATATGACACGAATTTGAAAAGAAATTTTAGGTGGATCCTTCTATTAAAAAAAAATAGATATACATGGTGGCCAAATGAAAACGAAACAGAGCCATTTTCTGGAACTGCGTCAAGATTGTAGAAAAACGCTCAGACCCGTCGATTTTAGATTAAAGGGGGACATTCTTTGCTGGTATTTTTGACTCAGCCACTTTCACCCCCAAGCAAGAGTAAGCATCACCCCAAAATATTTAAATGGCATTGGGGGTTGAGTAATATTTCTTTTGAAAGCTCTTACAATTCTCTTTACAACAGACTTTAAATTTTATAATTCCGCCCAATACTTATTAAGAATTTTGATTTTAAAGTTGAAACAACCGGTAAAAATGTCAGTCATTCGAGTTAAGTACGCTAATGGTATAAATTTAGTATTTTTTGCGTTACATTGGTTTTTGGCGATTTGTTATCATTTTCGTAAAAAAAAACACAATTATGGGTGAAAAAAAAAAGTTATAGTTCATCATAAAAAACTGGCAAAATCTAAGAACGCCCTTTAAGTATCTCTCAAACGAATCAATGTATCAAGATGCGGTTTTCATTATTTAATTTACATCTAAATCTCCTAAAAGAATCAAAATTGGTAACAATACATACAAATTGTAATGAAACTATTTGGCCAAATTTTAATGGCAAATTCTATCACTAATTTGCGAAAGAATTTCGTATAAAGATGTACCTGGAAAACCTTAATTTTCGAGTGTTAAGTATCTAAATAAATCGTACTTTTTAATTACATAAAAAGTATATGATTAAAGAGCTTTAATTCAATTTGGTGTGTAGCTTCAGTTTCTGATCATGCACCCATAAAGAAACCTCCGTTTTTTATATACATTATACAGGATAATAAACTACGTATTTTCATTAATAAGGAACATCCCGTATTTGGAAAATAAAACAGTTGTGACGTGGAATCTACTATTAATATTTGGACAAGCAAACCATGTTAATGAAAACGGAATTTTTGCACTAAAATTTTCAACATCCGATTTAACGTAATCTAACTATTCCTTTGCCAAAATTTATTTATTTAATATACCTGTTTTGGTCATTCCAGAATTGTTATATTAAAAAAATGTACATTTACAAAAACGTAAATAATTTTGAGGTGTCTCATTCAAATAATTATAACTTAAGATATTTACATACAACAACTACCAAGGGTTAATATCAAACATTTTTTCTTATGAATATGAAATTATATATTTTAAAATGTTTGTAACTCGTAAACAAAAACGAATAGGACCTATGTTCATATAAGAAAAAATGTTTGAAATTAACCAACTTTCAAAGTTTGTCATAGACATTGTAGAACATGAAAGATAATACACGTCTTATCAATTTGTAACAAAACAGGTGATTTTTTTACACATTACACACATTTAAAAGATAGTATGAGAAAATAAAATGAATGTACCGTAAAATATTTATAATCGAAAATTCTTTTTATAAAACCACGCCAAAAATAATATTAATTTAACGCGTGGAATATTTTCGGAATAATTCATTTAACGAAACAACGAAGCAAAATTTGCATATTGCACATTCCCCGCTGATATAACAATGGCTTTAATTAATTTTTTTAAAATATATAGTAATTGCCTGCTTTTGTAATGGATCGCGTAGCATATATTCCATGTGCGAATTAACTGATGAATGTTAGTGCTATATTTGCGCGCAATACCTACTGTTATTAAAATTTCATACAGAACAATGTTCGGCCTCGAATTATTTTAATAAATACGTTTTAATTTTCAAATTAAATAAACACACACGGGCAGATACCGAAACCGAGCAGATGAGAGTAAAATAACTTTAATACGCGAGGCTGATTCTGTTCACCGGCTGGTGATTTATTTGCCTTTTTCCTTTTTCTGATAAAAAAAAAACTCTTTTGCTTAATTTTCGCGCTGTACATTTTTGCCCGAATATTGTTTTTAAATGATCCCCCCCGAAAACACACGTTTCTCCAACGTTTACAACGGGGGATTAAGACTGGTGCAAAGCAACACTGAATTATAAATTTCGTCTGGTTTGGTAACGCTACTTATGTATACAAATTCAAATTAATGTGACTGGCTTTGCTGATGCTTTAGGCTAATTCTCTCTTTTCAGCCCTTTCTGATACATCCTATCTAAATAAGCCAGACGTAGATTAGTGTTGTTCCAGGCGAATCGTTAGATTTAACTAAATCTATATCTAGACCTGCTGCCTGTTGCCGCGAGTAATAGGGGATTAGTTATGGCACGTCATTCATACACTATTAAATATCGTAGAAGCAATAGTTATACTGAAACGCGATTTATAATATCCTAAAGTTCCTAAAGTAGGTATCTGTAAAATTTATATAAACTTAATGTAACCTTAAATTAAAAAAAATATCCCTGAAAATGGATCATAAGTGTAAATTTACAGAGAATTGCATTACAGCAAAATTTGATTTATTTTTTTTTTTATTATTTACTCATTAATTCATTCATTCATTCATTCATTCATTCATTCATTCATCCATGAATTCATTCATTCACTCATCCATTTATTCGTTAATTCATTAATTCACTCATTCATTGATTCTATCATATCAAAACTCACTAAATTTTGAATAACAAAGTCGTAGTTTGCAGATAAATGAGTAGTTGACTGTCATAACAGTTGATGAAAGCAATTGGTAAACATCAAAGTCAACTTTTGTAAATAAAATAAATAACAGTCGCCCCAGTACTGACCCTTGAGGCACACCAGATGAAGCCAGAAACAGACCAGACTTAAAACTGTGACATTGCCTCAGAAATAAACTATGTAACTGTCAATAAAATTGTACAAAACCGCAAAATTGCAAATAAAATTTAGGTATATTCGTAACCCATATGTGAAATCAGGTACTTCAATTAGGTATTATTTATGTAACATGATTCGATTAAATTAAATAATAAGGAATTTGGTCTGGAACAATCAGTGCGATATTGTAGTTAATTGTGATTTTTAACAATGCTCTCAGTAATAAATTTGTTCTATACTTATAAAAAATTTCGTTTCGCTCAATTTTATCTGAAACGTCACGCAAACGCAATCCAATTGGTGTTATTGATGTTACACTTATTGGAAACAAAAAATTACCTCGATCAGATCGGATTCGTGTGATTACCGATTATTCCTGAGCCTACGACCGACCTCGGCAATAAATTATGTATTTCGGATTTCCTGAACACTTTATTTCCGAGATTATACTCGTGGGTGAAGATACTTTCGACTCTTGATTGAATTTATGCGCTCGTAGAAAAATGCAATTTACTGGAAAATCTATAGGATGTCCCCGGACTGTCTCTTTCGAAATTTGACGTTTTGGGAATCTGTGAATTTTGCTTGATTAAAAAGGAATTTCTATCATATAACAGAGGAATTACACCAGGTGGGTAAGAATTTTTGAAATTCGTTCTTATGGCAACACTGCGGCTGCGGCATATTGATTTTTATGCTAAATGAAACGAACATTTCAAAAACGTTCCGAAAAAACAACAAATATTATTTATTATACGGGGTCTTAATGTCATTAATTTTTAACCACGTATTTGGAAGGCTTAGTAAAGACAAAAAATCCAAAAATAAATAATACTTGTTAATTTTTGAAATGTAAGGAATTGTCTTATTCATTCGTATGTCTGGCTAAAAAGCTTTATTTATTCATGCAGCTCATTACAGATTAAAAACGTATTAAAAGCTAGATTAATGACCGAATGTTATGGTTTGTCAAGATTCACTCTCGATAAACCTTTGTGGATTAGCTGTCAGGAGCGGAGGAGAAGGGGTGAAAATGATTTGAAAATATTTTTATTCAGAGTAAATATGCATTTTAAAATGTTTTTAATCGCGTATTCTACTCATTTTTCCCTATCGTCCCTTAAAATCAATGCCATTATGACTGAATCGCCCTGTATATTAATTATTTTTTACATATTTATCTGTATAATACAGAATGCATCCATCGCCTGACTTATAAGACCAAAGAGGAGGTATCTCGCAGGGTCCTGATATTAACAAAATGAATGAAACATGCCAGCCTTCGTCAACGTCAGTTATACACGGAAATATTTGTTGTAGATGAAATTATCAACGCCAGTAAACGTTATCAATCATTTTAATCCCACGAAATGAAACAACCGAGCCAGTTGACTTTATTAAAACAGCTGCGAACCGAAATTATTATCGATTTTCATAGACGGCTCAATTTGCCGTCTGCACCACCCCGTGTGCAAAAATTCTGTATAGAGGGAGGAAAATCTATAAATAATTCATGAGACGAGCTAAGTGAGATAGCGGGCGTGATATAAATCAAAGTAGAAAATAAGATAAAACGTAAGTGGAACGGATGATCGATACAGTTACCTTTCTTACCTTTCGTTGGCTTGGCACCTTTTGCCTTGCACTTCTTCGTGATTTGCCTGTTCTGCTCGCAGGACGCGTCGCTGTTCACTTTCAGCTTGTCATTTCTTGTCATTTGGCTCTGGGCGTTGCACTCGCTCCATGTACCCTTCTCGTACCGGCACGCTGAAACCAAGATAAACACAGAATAGAGTTAAAAAGGCCGTCACAAGATGAAAATCCAAATTAAACAACGTTTCATAAAAACTGACTTATAATTTCAGGTCAAACGTTCACAGTTTACGACAAATATCACATTTGCACCAATTAATTACGTATTTACAGATAGGTGCAGATAAGGTACAGGTAAGTGCACAATATAATCAGTTGGCATCAACAGTTTTGCAAATATTCCCCAAAGGGTAGTAGAATACTTAAAACTCCCTGATTCATCCAGTTACACTAACCATTGCTTGAGGAGGACGTCTGCCCCCTTCCTCGCTGACACTGGAGCTGATATTCAAACGCTTAAAAGACATGGAGGATGACAGTCAACTAGTGTGGCCGAAGCCACACGAGGAAAGCTTCGTCAATAAGTTGAAAATTTCAAAAAGACATTTCATCAACAAGAACTAGTGGCACTCCAAGATCAGTCATGATTTCAGATAGAGAATAGTAGTAGTAGTAGTAGTAGTAGTAGTAGTAGTAGTAGTAGTAGTAGTAGTAATAGTAGTAGTAGTGGTAGTAGTAGTAATAGTAATAACTAGTAATAGTTTTTTTATTTTCTGTCAAACTGCTTTTTATTAACAGTACATTACTATAAAGTAAAGTAAAGTTTCATGTGGTAAAGTACCACTTAGTAAACGATTTTGAATTCAGTAAAATAGCATATTATCAGTCAAAATGCGAAAAAAGTATATTTCAAGTTATCGAATTTGAATATAATACACTTCTCCTTCTCCCCCTCCCACGGAAGTTTTATTTAAGCTGCCATTTCCAGCTACCGATGACTGACTTGGCAGTAACTTAGAACTTAACACTTGATTGATGAGGTTTATAAAATAAATATGCCTTTACTTCATTAAGTGCAAGTTGATTGATGTAAAACCGATGTTTTACTATCCATTAGATACATTTGTCACTTCTGGGTAGAAGCGTAAACTTCACTAAACTTAAGAGATGTATTAAAAAAATTATAACTCACACGATTAAATATTTTACATTTATATACATTTCACCAAAGTTAAAGTCTCTATAATAATGTCCTTGGCACTAACACCAAAATTGCCAATGTTTCAATATTGGCCTGCTACTATAACCGTAATAAATGTTTATTTTATGGCTTCCATTTTAGGCGTTTATTTAAATTTCAAACTTAGAACCGAAATCTTTAACAATTCCGTGTTTTATTGTCCAAATAATTTAGCAGTGGATCCAATTCCGTTTTTTGCGACGCTCGCTGTTGCTTCGCTCTGAAGGAAGGGTTTCTGGTGGCAAATTTATGTACGGATAAAAAGGATAACGTTTATGTATATAGAAAGAGCTTGTGAAAATATCGTCTGGCGAGCCGAGTTTGAGTTTTTCGCTGAACTTTTATTTTGATAACAAAATTTTCGAATACTATCATGGAGGGAGGTATATATTTTTGCCTGCTTGCAGGGACGGAAAAGAAACGTAGCGTCAGCTATTTCGCCTTTATCGGTGAAAGAAAATATGAAATAAATTGGTCGTTGCTGTTGTAACTTATTTGTTTACCCTATACGTTCGTTGAAAACGAAATATACAAGCATTCTAAAAATAGTATAATTCGCAGCTAGAAAGGAATATGTCCTTTTCACCGTGAGCCAACAAAGCATATGTTTTTCAATTTTCGAATGAACTATCTGACAAAAAAGTTCGTTAAAATCGTATAAATAAATATACCGTAAAAAATTGAGTAAATTTTCACTCAAAATCAACACAATTTTTGTTAGAACGACTCCATATTCAATTGTGTTACTGGTAATCAATTTTTCTATACAGTTTCTACGAGTTCACCTAATCACACGTAAAAATTTGATTATATGTAGTTCGTGTTTACAAAAAAGGTATCAATTATTCATCTGTAAGCTGCTTCCATTCGTAAACAGCTGCACACGGCATTTGTGCATCTGTAAATCCATGTTTCGCCACAAAAACCGTACTGAGGGAAATAATTTCCCGTTATATCAAAGCCAGACAAACACTTGTCTCTGGTAAAAACGCTGCAAATGTAAACCTCGCAATTAAAATGACTTCAAAGCCGGGATTATGCATTACGCAAATGGAAAACTTGACATGACTTACAAGCTTAATAAGGTTCAATTTAGGATTACGCCGTCGGCATAAATACACATTTCACGGGATATGCTACATTAACCAATTTTTTTTAATCCGGCCTTATTACCCCGCCAACTTGGTTTATGATTTTAATATCGGGCCCTCCGACTACTCTGCCACGTATTTCGGGATTTTGTGATATTTTTAATAAACGTTAACGTAAAACATAAAACACGTATTGCGACGGTGTACACTGCAAAAAGGAAAAACGTAACAGTGTACAAAAGACTGTAATTGACGTTATAAGGTGTCTATCAAAAATATTCTGTCAGAACTGTGGCATATTCTGGGCTAACACACTCAGCTGGAGCTAGTTCCGAGAACGGAAGCTTGGGGATAAATAAGAGCTTGTAAATTTAGAAACAAATATTTAATTCGTTTAAAGCAAACATAGATATATAACTAAGACGATTTTTGACTGACAATAAGCTAAAGAGTTGATTCACGCTACTGGACAAGCACTCGTGTCCACGTTAATAAAACGCGAATTGTAAGGGTCGACGTTCGTACGCAGTTCTCGCACACACCGCAGTATTTTCAACATTGAACATTACTGACTTGATTCGAAAGATAGGAGTAAAATTGAACGTCTGTCGTTCTCATTCGGATTGTTCTGACTATCGTCCTGAGTTTTTGCGGTGAAAGAACTCGATTTTTCATTTCTCAGTCATCTGAATGTCATATTTCATCTCGCAATGCGATGGATCAGTATTTCTGTTAACTGAACTGATTATTTGCAAAAATTCGAAAGATAGGTGAATTTTGAATTTGAGCACCCGGGTTTTAGAATACGCATTAAATATCTGATTTCGATCTTTTTCTTCTTCTAAGTACATTAATAGTTAAACAACGTTTAAACTTTGTTCCTTAATTACTTCCTCAAATGGTCAATAGTATTGGCTAGTCACTTTAGAATAAACTTAAACACAAATTTAATTTAATAATCATGATTATGAAGTATTTAAGCTCAAAAAAACGTGAGCTCTTAATTTTTTTCAAAAGTTTGCCTGTTTGAAACAAAGAAACGATTCGCTAGATCGAGATGAAACTTCACAGGGTTCTTCGGGGTATACCGAACTGTGAAAGTCATACTTAACATTAGTCATTTTGTGAATATTTCTAATTTAGCCATCAATTTTCCAAAAAAACATAAATTACCCTTTGTTTCTTGTTTTTTAAAATTCGTGTAAATGGTGAAAAAAAAATTTCCCGAAAAGTTGCGGCAGTATGTTATAGGAAATTTATTCCAGTTTTCGAAACTGCCCTTCAATTCTCTGTACGACCGTTTGTCTCCCAGATATCGATCATTGAAGACAAAAGGATACTTTTCTATTAAAAGTCCGATATTTTGATGAAAAATGGTCGTATCGAAATTAAAAAAAAGGAAATTGAAGCTGAATAAACAAACCATCTGGTCCATGCGATGACTTAGCCGAAAAAAATTTTTTGGGTAAGAAAAAAAAAGAAAATTTGCAATTTTTTTTTATTTCTTAGAACTGCATGATAACCGTAGCTCCTAAAAAATATCGACCGAATGATCTAAAAACTACAATTTTAGAGCTTCAAAATGCCTTTTTTTAATTCCCGATTTTTTCATCTAAATACAGTGTCAAAAATCACCGAAAAATTTCGGAAATTATTTTGACCCTTTAATTATTTTTTTGCATTAATTTATATCTTACGAAATAATATACCTAATCAATTATTTGTTTTTACATTTGTTTAATTCCGATTTTCAAAGTTTTAGGTAAGGAATAATGTATTCGATACAGTTTTGCATAAATTTTAGTGTCCTTTCATATTTCGGTAAAAGTTCCAAACAACAAGAAACTGTATTAATGGAACCAACGGCAAATTCCCGCTTTTTACCTGTCACACCAGAACCAGCCCAAACTTTTCCGTCCCGGCTCCCCGAATACGTTCCGGCAAGGCGTCAGACCGACGCGATGCATTTTACATGTTATTGATACGAAATCCCGGCACGGGCACGAAATTCGAAAACCGCAGAGGCCTAACACGGATTTAATGATGCTAAAAGTTAGTCGCAGACCGCGCCAGCCGTCGAAAATTATAAATTTCCGCCAAACGTCAGTTTGATCTCTTGCGGGGGGCGCTGTAGCAGTTTCTAACTAAACCACTATTCCCATATCGATCCCGTGCAATATTGGGAATATAAATCAGCCCCCGTTTTTGTGATTATAACGTCCATTCCGCCTCACCCGGGGAGGTAATAAATTTCCCACTCCCGACGCCGTTTCATACTGCTTGATGAATTTTAAGAGATAAATTCTAAATTTGCATGGCCTTACTATGAAATACGGTAATTGTTTGGTTAAATTATACATGCGCACCAACTACATTTTAAAATATGACCGAATTAAACAACGCTGCCGAGGATTATTAAATTACCTAATTTAAAAGGCAGCTTCGTTACAAAAGCAGCTTTAGCTTCCTGATTACCACGTATCGATTTTTTTCAACAACCCGAACGTTATGTAATATCTTGTTAAAAAAATTGTGTAAGTATAAAAATATGAATTTAATTTTTCCGTTTCCAATTCAGTCATTAGTGGCAACTAAAATATTTAGTCATACTTTAATGGCGTCACAAATGAATAATTCTCTTATACGTTAGTATTTTTTGCAAGCCTGATATTGTGTAGTTATACTCATCTACTACGTCTTCTTTATATTTTACTCCACACCAATATGGAAAGTCTATTGCACCGAAATATAAACTATATGTTCGTACCAGCATATAAACACACAATGAGAAGAACCGTTGGTGTCTTTATTTCTTAGAAATGTATTATTAATGATTGGTCCCG